TGACATCACTCTTGGTAACGAACTTGCGACGGGGCTGATCGGGCAATAGAGAGTGTCATCGGAACCCTCCATGACAGATCACCGCATCATAAGATTCGCACTTGGGGTAGAGGTCAGGCAACTCCCTCCCAGGCGTATCCCCAAAAACACGGACTGGGCCACTTTTAGGGATACGCTTGAAATAAATGTCAATAGGAGGGGGCAGCTGGACGGCAGTGCCACTGCTTCTGGACTGGAGAGCAGATTGTCTGCGCTAAACCAGTCCATTATAGAGGCATATAATAGTAGCTGCCCCCTAAAGACGACCACCAAGAATCTCAGCTGTCCCTGGTGGTCAAGTAGGCTCTCAGAACTAAGGAAAACGGCGTACGCAGCTATTCAACAGAGCTAAGCGTACCGGGACTGGGAGATCTACATGCAGCCTAACTGCTTACAACAAGGAGATTAGGTCAGCAAAGCAGAAGAGCTTCAGGAAGGTCTGTGAAAGCGTCACCTCAACGCCAGAGGCTGCATAAGGCCCTGCTGCTAGGGTAAGACCGACACAGTACTAGCAATTAAAGACCGGATGGGACCTATACGTCCAGCGCAGAGGAAAGAGCCACGGCCTTTACTTGCGCACTTTCCGGAGACAATTCGAGAAGACCTATTCGACCCATGGTCGAACGAAAGCCATCACGCTTGGACTGGACAGTCGCAAACAGCTCTTCACTGCAGACTCCATCAGGTGGGCTTTGGCCCTTTGAAAATATAAGTCTCCGGGTGCGGATGGCATCCTTCCAGCATTTCTGCAACAGGGGAGCAGGTACTACTGCCCCACCTTGTTCGGCTGATGAGGGATAGCCTAGCGCTGGCGTATATCCCGGAACCATGGCGCACCGCAAAGGTGATCTTCATACCCAAAGTAGGAAGGAAAGACTACTCATTGGCGAAATCCTTCAGGCCAATCAGTCTTACTTCCTTCCTACTTGAGTATGGAAAAGATCATAACCACGAAATACGATCGAAGGTGCTGAAGGCTTCACCGCTTCACGCGAAGCAACATGCCTACAGAGCTGGCAGATCAACAAATACTGCTCTGTATCAGCTAACATCGGAGATCCAAAATTCGTTAGATGGGGCGAGGTGATGTTGCGCCTTCCTAGATATCGAAGGTGCTTTTGACAATACGTCTCATGAAAGCTGTCAAGAGCACTAGAGAAAAGGGGTGTGGCGGCGCCGGTGCGCAGATGAATTGAAGCCGTACTGCGCACCAGGATTGCTGAAACCACAGTAGCGACACTAGATTCGTCTGCACAACAAGAGGCTGTCCACAGGGTGGAGTGCTATCCCCCTACTTTGGAGCCTAGTTGTGGACGATCTTCTCGGATGCCTAACTAGCAATGGAATCCGCTGTCAGGGATATGCGGACGACATTGTTTTCTTAGCCAGGGTAAATTCGCAGACACTCTCTGCGACATTGTACAAAGAGGATTGGGCTGGCAAAGGATGGTGTAGTGGGTTGGCTTAAATATCAACCCTCCAAAACTACAATCATACCGTTTACGGCGGCAGGATACTGCCAGGCCTCAGAAACCTATCTAGGCGGTATGGAGCTGAGATGGCTAACACGGTCAAATACTTAGGCCTCACGCTGGATTCCACTTTACGATGGAAGCAGCATTCGGACCTGACCTTAGCCAAAGCCACTAAAGCGCTCATGGTGTGCAATCGACTTGCTGGGAAATCATGGGGCTGCAAAACAAGGATTTACAGATGGTTGTACACCATGATTGTGAGACCGATCATAACATATGGAGCGGTGGCCTGGGTTCTAAAGCATCGCAGACCTCGGTAGGATTTCGACTATCGAAGCTGCAACGACTTGCCTGCATCTGCGCGTCGGGCGCGATGCGTACGTGACCGACTGCAGCACTGGAAGTAATGCTGGAGCTCACACCGTTACATGTAGTGATCGAACAGACGGCCAAACAGACCCTGTTTCAAATGTCAGCAGAAGGGTTTGGCAAAGGGAAGGTAATCTCGTCCCAGCAGATGAAGGCCCTAGTGACGCAATGCCACTGGCCCTTCTTCCAAGGGACAGCATTACCAAAATAGTAAGCTTCAGTAGAAGTTCAAAGTTACCCTTGGCAGTAAGACGGAATGGAATGATTCCACGCTGGACCTACTGCTAAGGCACGCACTATCAAGTGGTACACCGACGGCTCGAAAACGGCGGAGGGATTGTGCAGGGTCGCGGGACCACCGCACCAAGCTCTCCATTCCCATGGGAGTTTTCCTAGCATATTCCAGGCGGAGGTATATGCTATAAGTCGGTGGTACAGATAAACCTCCAACGCGACTATCGCAATAAGAGTATCGCCATACTCAGCGATAGTCAGGCGGCACTTAAAGCGATCTCGGCTTTTGAAGTCACATCGCTACTAGTGCAGGAGTGTATAGAACGCCTGAACAGCCTATCAAGTCACAATAGAGTGCACCTCATCTGGGTGCCTGGACACAGGGGTATAGTCGGAAATGAACTGGCTGACGAGTTGGCCCGCTCTGCAGCCTCTACAAAATGGTAGGACCAGAACCGTGCGTAGCGGTTGGTCCACCACACCATTAAAGAGCTGCTCCGTAAAGAGAAAGGGCAGGCAGGGAGAGACATTGGCAACATCTCCAAGGCATGCGCCATCCAGGTTGCTAATGGGGTTATAACCTCAGACGGTTTAAAACCGTAATCAATCTCCCGAGGAATAAATTCCGGCTACTTGTCGCGTTCTACACCGGACATTGCAGACTCAACAAGCATTTATTTAACATGGGCTTGGTCTCCTCTGCAAACTGCCGGTTCTGTGACATGGAGTCGGAAACCCCAGAACACCTGCTTGTGGACTGCACAGCAGTCTGCAGACCAGAATTAAGGCCCTGGATGTTTCCAAACAGGGATCGCATCGCTTCACTAGCACCTAGCAATATATTGGAGTTCATCAATATGCTGGGGCTAGATGAGTCGTTGTGACTTAGGGGAGGGCACAATAGACCATAGGTCGCGGTGCATACCTCAATCTTTATCTATCTGTAAGTGCACAATATAAAAGAAAAGATAACCATAAATCGAGAAATTGTAAAATGAAATTTGTGAAATTTTCAACTTAAAATGCAAATATCTCGAAAACTATAAGAATCTCCTCTATCCAACCATACCCCTCTTAACCCTGAAATCGTGGGATGCTAAAGCCCACCCAACAATTTTTTTGTCATTTTTCAAATCCGGTATGTGGATTAAAATTTTTTTTTTTTTACATAAAACTTGTTTAGGATTATTTACATTATGTTCAGTCTATTTTCTAATATTGTCAAGTTTGATATGGTAATACTGCCTTATCTAAGTTTTGCATTTGTCATCTCTCTTTTATCATTAATTTCCTTTATAAATATCTTTGTTAATGCATATTTAAAGTTACTGTATTTTGAATTCCGTTGAACTCCTATAAATGTCGTAGGACATGTATATACGAGCCTCTTCTCTGATTGTAACTGGGTGCTGATTCTACTCATAGCTGGTTTGGTGTAAAATAAACCGTGCACAATCGTACAAATTCCAATAAAGCATTGATGTGTTTATAGAATTGAATAACTACTTGTTTCAAATATTAGGTGTAGTAAAAAGAAATCCATTATCTTTGCATGAAATTTAATGCTTTAATTATTACTTTTCGTATCCAGCCTTATTCAAATGGTTTCAAACGATTTTTTGTACAATGTTTAGGTCCTGGATAATCGTAATTGATGTTTGAAATCGGCGATTTCCATTATTTTATCGATAATTGGTCTTCTAGAGCGTGGTGCATCTTTGACATTGAAATTACCGGAACGGAATCGACGAAACCAATATTGCGCATTGCCGCCTGGCTTGCGTTTTCGCCCTTATCAAAAAAAAAAAACTGTAAAATGTAGCTATTTTCTCTTTGCTGGTGTTCATCTTTGACGCGCGATCAAACATAACTGAATCAACCAATCACAAAACTGTCAAAAAAGCTTTTTTTAGTACGAAATGTCATCGTTTGGACGACACTAGCGGAACCCGATCGCACTTATACAACGCGAGATACAGATTAATAACGTCATCTATTGGAAAAATAATGGTTTTCTATTTACTACATATTAAATTTATTCACAATTTTAAACGTAGAGCCACCCTTCATACAAGGGATCTCTCATTGCAGTAGACGAAAGATACCGAATTGTTCGTGCTTGGGCAACACGCTTTGTGTTATTCCTTATAACAGTAAAGAGCGCGAGTAACTCGTATGTGCTAGCAAAATGTAAAAATAATAATTCCAAGCAATTAATTTGGCCCTAATATTAATTTGTGTGTGCATGTATACCTTTTCTAGCGTAATAAGAACAATATTGTTGTCCTGTAACACCCAAACCGAATCCTCTTGTTTCACTTCTGCACAAAGTTTTCCGTTAATTACAGCTTCTTGGTTTTTTAAACCAACTTTTATTGAAGATTTTCCTATTATGACATCAATATCTCTAGCTCTCAAAGTTGACGAAGTCTTCAGAGGAATTTTAACCTGTAACATATAAATCATATATTATTAACACTATTTATTATTTTAGAATGAAAAGAAGTAATGATTATGTTATAAATGAAGATAAGACCGAGTTACGCCAGAAATTTTTAATTATAAATGACAACTGGCTACATAGTATAGTTTTTGTTGTATACATATGTATTATTATCAAATTGCCATGCTATGCCTAACGGAAACGTTACAATATAATTTATGCATTTTATATGAAATTGTTATGAGGTAAAAGTTAGTTGATTTATATTTATATGTATATGTTTCGAACGCGAAATTGCAGTGGAATGCAAATAGAATTGCTTGTCAGTAATGTATTTTACGAAGCAACATGCCTACATAGCAGGCAGATCAACAAACACTGCTCTGTATCAGCTAACCTCAGAGATCCAGAATTCGTTAGATGGGGGCGAGGTGATGTTATGCGCCTTCCTTGACATCGAAGGTGCCTTTGACAATACGTCGTATGAAAGCGTGTCAAGAGCACTGGAGCAAAGGAGTGTGGCAGCTCCAGTGCGCAGATGGATTGAAGCCGTACTGCGCACTAGGGTAGCGGGGACCACAGTAGGTGACACTAAAATTCGTCTGGGCACAACAAGAGGTTGCCCACAGGGTGGAGTGCTATCCCCCCTACTTTGGAGCCTAGTTGTGGACGATCTCCTTGAGCGGCTGACTAGCAATGGAATCCGCTGTCAGGGATATGCGGATGACATTGTTATCTTAGCTAGAGGAAAATTCGAAGACACACTCTACGATATCGTACAAAGGGGACTGGCAAAGGGATGGTGTAGTGGGGTTGGCTTAAACATCAACCCCTCCAAAACTACAATCATTCCCTTCACCAGACGGAGGTCACTGCCAGGCCTCAGAAGTATATCCCTTGACGGCAGAGTGGTGGAGATAGCCAACACGGTCAAATATCTGGGCCTCACGCTGGAAGCAGCACGTGGACCAGACCCTTACCAAAGCCACAAAAGCAATCATGGTGTGCAACCGACTTGCTGGAAAATCCTGGGGGTGCTCCCCAAGGACAATCAGGTGAATGTACACCATGATTGTGAGACTGAATACCACGTATGGAGCGGTATCGTGGTTTGCTAAAGCAATGCAGACTTCGGTAGGACTCAAACTGTCGAAGCTGCAAAGACTTGCCTGCATCTGCGCGTCGAGAGCAATGCGAACGTGTCCGACCGCAGCACTGGAAGTCATGCTAGAACTTTCACCGCTTCATCTGATAATCAAACAGACAGCCAAACGAACTCTGCTCCAAATGACATCAGAGGGAGTTGGCAAAGGGAAGGTAATCTCATCCCAGCAGATGAAGGCGCTAAGTGAGGAAATACCACTAGCCCTTCTTCCAAGGGATAGCATTACCAAAGTAGTAAACTTCAGCAGGAAGTTCCAAGTTACCCTTGGCAGCAAGTCTGAGTGGAATGACTCTTCACTGGACCTGCTGCTAAGGGGAAGCACTATCAAGTGGTACACCGACGGGTCGAAAACGGAGGAGGGGATTGGTGCAGGTGTCGCTGGGCTAAGCACCAAACTCTCCATTCCCATGGGAAGTTTCCCTAGGATTTTCCCAGCCGAGGTCTATGCTATAAGTCGGTGTGTAGGGATAAACCTCCAACGCATCTATCGCAATAAAAGTATTGCTATACTCAGCGATAGTCAGGTCAGATCTCTGCTGGAGTGTATAGAACGGCTGAACAGCCTATCAGAGCACAACCGAGTGCACCTTATCTGGGTGCCTGGCCACAGGGGTATAGCCGGGAACGAACTGGTTGACGAGCTGGCCCGCTCTGCGGCCTCTACAAAAATGATAGGACCGGAACCATTCAGAGCGGTTGGTCCCCATATAATGAAAGAGCTCCTCCGTAGGGAGGAAAGAGTAGGTAGGGAGACACATTGGCAACAACTTCAGGGCATGCACCATGCCAGACTGCTAATGGAGTGTTACGACCTCAAATGGTTCAAAACCATAATTAATCTCTCGAGGAACAAATTCCGGCTACTTGTCGCGTTCTATACCGGCCACTGCAGGCTTAAAAAGCACCTCTTAAACATGGGCATAGCCTCTTCTGCAAACTGCCGGTTCTGCGACATAGAACCGGAAACCCCTGAACATCACCCAGCAGAATTTTGGAATTTATCAACATGCTGGGCCTAGATGATACTATATGACTTAGGGGAGGGCACAATAGACCATAGGTCGCGGTGCTTACCTCAAAATTAATCTATCTATGTAAAATCAGAAAAGCTCGGTACGCTCGCCAGCTCAAAGCGTAGGAAAACTGAAGAAAATTAGTTTTGAAAGAACATGAATTCCAAAGAAGTGCTTTCAAGTACATGGTAAATGCTGTTTGCTTCCATTATCTAATTTTTTCTTCAATAATCATATTGAAAACTTGGACATCAAAAAATAGGACAAATTCTCAAATGACGTCTTATCATTAAGATTTTCTTTTAATTATCAGAGGTACGATAACTGGGGTTATGTTATGCTGGAAAAACCTTTAATAGTTATTTTATTTCATCCACTTTAATACTTTTTAACTTTTTCGTGCTTTGTGAGGGCTCGTCGGTGTAACACTTAGTTTTTCGATACACCTATATACAAGTCATTATTATAAAATAAACAAAAATTTACTGTCAAAAAAAAAAATTATTTAAAATAGTAATTTTCTCACTACACCTAACTTCTTATATTGACATCAAACCACATTATGTTCACTTAAACTCCGATTTATACCGCACCTAATAAATTGGAGAATAAGGAGATCTTTATATTAAATTTCATTTCGATTTGATCTATTTTTTTTTTAGAATAAAACTCATTTGTGGTAGGGGATTCCGAATTTATCAATCTCTTCTGAGTGTTAAGAAGTTCTTAATTCTTACACGTTGCACGGACAGTCATGCTAAAATATATAAATATAATAATCCTTAATATGACTGTAAACAATTTTAGTTGGTTTTTATTGTATTTTCTGAAAATGCAGCATGTGCTAATTATTTAATTATTTTTAATTTGCAAGGTGTACGGAGTAACAGGATAATTAATAACCCTTGAATTTCTTTAACAGCACTAGTAACCAGGTCAATCTGAAATGAAAATATACCTCAACTTCTTGCAGAGTTTGCGTCCATGAATAGTTATCCAAAGTGCAGCCATTTCCCGAATTCGGTTTGAGTTTGCCAATTTCTTCTTTCTCAGATTCATCATCTACATCATTTATTGGTTTTGAAATCTCTTCTTTAGGAGCATTTTCCTCATCTCTAAAATAAATATCAAATGAAAATGTATTTTTAAAATATATAAAATATCATAATAGAGAGGACTATTATGTGAGATAGTACATAATTTTAGCAATAAAACATAAAAGTATTAACGGAAAATATTCGTTAATCGATTTTTATGATATTTAATTACATTGTCCTTCTTTTTAATTTGAAAGGATATAGTGATGATGTGAAATTAGCAGCCTATGAGTCTGTTAATATTTCAATAAAAATATGTGTGTACAGGTAGTGCGTATGCTTTAATGCGAAATACAGAACCAGTTTTACATTACGGTTTAGAAAACGTGTATTAATACGGATTTGACCAAAGTTACCGTAACTTTTATTATGTGCAGTTTTTACCCATAAAAGTAGTTATTCAATGTTGGAAACTCAATTAGAAAGTTAAAAAATCTAAGTAATTACGTTATAAAATGGTGACTAACTCAAATATATCAAAATAATAGAATATTGTATTCTATTTAAATGTCACATAAAGGCGACAATGAACTCAAAACATACTAGGAAGCTTGTGAAACAAAAAAAAAAGAATTTCCATATAAGAATTTAATTTTTATCGGTCAGTTTGTAAGAAAGCTATAGCTATAGGCTATAGTGGTCCGACTGAAACATTTATTCGGAAATTGCCCCGTTGTCTGAGACAATAATTCATGTCAGATTATCTTGTCAAATAAAAATGTTTTATATACAACAACTTGACTTTGATCGTTCAGTTTGTAAGGTAGCTATACACAATACTATAGTGCTCCAATATCGGCGGTTCCGACAAAAGGGCTGCATCTTTGGGAGTGGACGTATGCAAAATTTCAGATCAATATCTCAAAAACTGAGGAACGGGAGCGCGTAACGATAGCTGCGGTCCAAGAAACCAAGCTAAACAGCCGCTCAGATCTTCTTAATTGTGCAGGTTTCAACGTTGTACGTAAGGATCGCGAGCGAGATAATGGTGGAGGCCTTACCTTCATATTGCACAACACCGTGCAATATCGTCTAATCGATGTTGACATCGACCGTAGGGACACTACCCTAGAATGACAGGGTATAGCTGTCCGGTCAGGCGATGTCGAGCTCGAAATATTTAATATATACATCCCCCAGTTAGATGTTGCCCAACAGGATATCACCCGAACATAGATGCGCTACTTCGTGGTGAAAACAGTTTGGTGCTAGGCAACTTTAACGAGCATCACAATCTTTGGCACTCCTGCCTGTCAAATGATCGTAGGGGGATGGAGCTGGCGGAACAGATAGACGATTCGACATTCTGCACAATGAATGACGAAGCCCCCACCAGAATTATGGGCACCAGATATTACCATCGCTTGCGGTGGTCTGATAAATAGTATAACCTGGCGACCTATGCTAACTCTCGCATCAGACCATCTGCCCATAATTATCTCGATCGAGAAACCTCCTGAATTTATTTCTGTGGACAACCGCACTTATGTTAACTTTAACAAAGCTAACTGGGCCGGCTTCACAGAATTCACTGAGAGCATCTTCAACGCACCACCCATTCCTACGGACGTCATCGTTGGCGAGCGTCAATTCCGCAAGGTGATCGCTGCTGCTACTGCTTGCTTAATACCGGCTGGAAGAATCGCGGAACTCCGCCCCAATTTCCCAGCCGAAGCAGCTGTACTAGCAAACGAGCGCGACACCTTACGCCATGCCGATCCCTGTGCTCCCCGAATAAGGGATCTCAATTTGGAGATTCGGCAAATGGTAAATCATCATAAGCGGACAAAATGGATAGAGCACCTGAAGTCCTGTAATCTTTCCACCGGTGTGAGCAAGCTTTGGAATACTGTCAAGGCCTTGTCCGAAGGAGACATGAGGACCGGGTTGAAATTCAATTCGATGGCCATGCCTCCTCGGACCCGAAGAAGTGCGCGAGCTATTTTAGGCGGCAGTTTACACTGCACCCTTCGACCGACAAGGCCAAACGATGTGTTACCCGACGGCTGCGCAAAATACCAAGAGACTGCGCACCACTTACTTTCACCGATGGAGAGGTTGTGTCATCAAAAAGGCGAAATCGTCTAAATCCATCGGCCCTGACGGAATAAGCATGCTGATGCTAAAACATCTAGGCTCAACGGGAGTAAACTATCTCACCAAGGTCCTCAACTTGTCGATGTCTACTCTTCAAATACCCGATGTGTGGAAAGTCGGAAGAGTGGTCCCACTACTGAAACCTGGGAAATCCGACAACAAAGGGGAGTCTTATCGCCCGATAACTCTCCTTTCCCCAGTAGTGCAGACACTTGAGGCCTTGTTACTCCCGTCATTTACTCACCACCTGAGTCTAGCAGACCATCAGCATGGCTTCCGAAAAGTGCACAGTACTACCACAGCACTTAGCGTCATAAACGTCCAGATAGTTCATGGCCTGAACCAGAAGCCACCCTGCGAGAGGACGATCCTCGTAGCGTTGGACTTGTCAAAAGCTTTTGACACAGTCAATCACACAACGCTACTTGAGAACCTAGAATAATCAACGCTCCCTCCAAGGCTGAAGCGGTGGACTATGAACTACCTGAGCGGTTGGCATTCATCCGTACTGTTTCGAGGTCAAAACTCCAAACTTAGGAAAATTAAACAGGGGGTTCCGCAGGACGGTGTCCTCTCCCCACTACTGTTTAATTTTTATACTTCGAAGCTCCCCCAGCCACCAGCGGGAATTTCAGTGACCTCGTACGCTGATGACTGTACGATATTGACGTCGGGAAATGGAATCGATGGCATGTGTTCAAAAGTAAACAGCAACCTCTCCGATCTTTCTCGCTTCTTCTCTGCAAGGAACCTAACACTCTCTCTCACTAAATCCACAGCGACTATCTTCACAAATTGGACGAAGGAGTACAGACTGAATCTGAACATTTCAGTCGACGGCACAAAAATTCCGACAGTAAATGGTCCTAAAATTTTAGGCGTCACTTTGGACAGTCTGTGCTCTTTCACTCCTCACACGACCGCGATAACTGCCAAAATACAGAGCCGCAACAAAATCCTCCAGTCGCTTGCCGGCAGCTCTTGGGGAAAAGACAAAGAAACGTTGTTGGCAACATACAAGGCAATTGGCCGGCCGGCTCTAAATTACGCAGCCCCAATATGGTCGCCTGGATGCAGTGACACGCAGAAGAAGAAGCTTCAGACCTGTCAGAACACTGCACTCCGGCCCGTATGCTTCCGGTTAAGGAACACAACGAACTCCTCTCCAGGCAATTTCTACTGTGGTGTTTTCGTAGAAACCACCCCTGTAGTCGCCTGCCTGTAGCGGAAGCGTCTCCTAGGAACATCAAGAGGTCTTTCCTTGATTACGTCGACGACATTAGACAGTACGTCGACCGGACGCAACGAACTTCAGACAGGCACTGACCGCCATTCACAGTGGAGCCATTAACACCTTCACAGACTCCCTCTCAGTGAATGGCGTAATAGGAGTCAAACCCCCACCCATAGCAGACGTAGAGCTCGAGTTGCCTCGCGCAACCTCGTTCTGGATACTGTAGCAGGTTAAACTCCTACTTATCCAGAATAGACCCCGACATACCAAACACATGTCCTGCGTGCAATGAGTCTCCGCATGACACTAACCACCTCTTTGCATGCCCAACAAACCCCACTCATCTAACACCCTTCTCCCTATGGTCCGACCCCGTCGAAACAGCTCGTTTCCTGGGCCTCCCGTTAGATGACCTCGACGACAACGAAGCTGGAATTTATCACCCAAACGGGGACTAGGTAACCGTTACAACAACAACAACAACAGGACCACTCTTCACAAAACGAAGTTCTGCGCAAAAAAACCTTGATACACCCCGGTGTTGGACCGACCAGGGTTATTTTTCTTTAAGCGCCCACGCAAAAAAAATTTGGTACACCCCGGTGTTGCACCGACCAGGGTTATTTTTTTTTTTTTGAAGCGCGGCCGAAGGCCGCCAACGCAAACAGGAGTTTTACGCGAAAAGCCCTTGGTACAACCCGGTGTTGGACCGATCAGGGTTATTTTTTTTTGAAGCGGGGCCGAAGGCCGCCAACGCAAAAAGAAGTTCTACAAGAAAAAGTAATATTTTCATAGAGGGTATAGCATAATACTTAACATCAATGCTCTATAATAGTTTATTTTTCTAGGTTTTGGATTCCTATATTTGGGCTATTATCTGTTTTGATTTCTTTCAGTTCAATTACAAAAGATGTCGATAAGATTATTTGACATTTTGCAACCCCTTTGTTTTTGTCAGAACTAATAGAGTTTAACAATAATTTAAATATTGATATAAACAATTTTTGCATTATATAATGTAAAATAAATTTGTACAAACAAATTAAAAATTAAAAGTGAAAAATATGTGTATAATTCATTTAAAATCAAAAAAATTCGTACTTTAAATAGTTGAAAATTTCAATTTTAAACGTAAATATCTCGAATTTCCCGCGGCTATATCTATATATATGCCTGATCTGGAGGATCTCCTCTATACGCCCATACCCACTTTACGAACCTGGGACGGTATACTAAAGCTGACCCGAAAAATTCAGTAATGCTAACGTTTACCCATTTGTTTTGAATTTCAATTGAAAAAACTTTACTTTCCGTTTGAGATAGCCAAATGAAAGATTTGTTTAAGTCATGCTACAATACCAATCAATGTAAACCAGAAAAAGGTTACCGGTTGGCACACAGCCTTAGCCTTAGTGAAGGTTTAGTTTCTATACCTGGATTCCCGTTTAGCAATATTTTCGGCCTTCCGATTATCCTGTTTTGTCACAGATTGGTTTCCATTCCCCGAGTTTTGTGTAATTGCTTTTTCATATTGCTTTTGGAAAACACCTAACAGCAATCCTTCCCATTCTGCTTGAGATACACCCGTAAAGAAATCAGTTTTTCGTCGCAAGAAGCTCGCAATTGTATCTAAAAACTGAAAGCACAAAATATTAGTATATATACTAAAATACATTTCATGTCAAACCTGAGGAATTCCATTTTCATGCTTTTCGGCTATTGCTAAGAGCAATCCATCAAATTTTTCATCATCTATATTCATTATTAATTATTACCTCCGGCAAACTGCTGTAAAATAATATGAAGACCAAAGGTAGATGACGACTTTTTACTAAGTAGACTCTACACGTTCAATTATTAAGTTAGGGATCCGTGATCGCGATACTTAATAAACCTGTGCCATGTAATGTTAATGGCGATCCATGTCACAAATTATTCGCAAGTATTCAATATTGATCGGCCAATCTACGACATTTTATAAGTAAATTAACGACATGACGAAACAATTCATTGAAAACATTAAAAATCCTTTAATTTATATTAAAAATGTACTATTTCTTTAGTTTTGTATAAAAAGTTAGCATAGAAACTTTTCATTAGTTTTTATAAAAAAACATGACAAATATATGGTAAATTTTCAAAAAATTCAAGATAAATAAATTTTTGAAAAATATTACTTATCGCTCACGGATTTCTTATATTCGCGTCAAAATAAGCCGATAAAAAAAATTCATTATCGAGGCCTCCTTCTTTGGCTTACACTATACATTATCCAAAAAATTTTTAGCATATTTTTTCTAAAAACATGATTTATTGCAAATAAATACTGACCTGATAATTATTGAACGAGCGGCATTCACTCGCGATCCATTAAACTATGGATCACGATCCAAATAATTAATATATGTTAAAGATGGGACAGGCGCCTATCAAAAATAGCCGATACTTGTATTCAATAATTTCACACACTATGGGCCGTTTTCTCAATGTCTGGTTAGCATCCAAGACTCCTTTTTTTCGGCTGAGTTAACCAGAATAGACTAACAGATGGTTGCTAACCAAAATTGAGACATTGAGAAAACAAGGGCAATTTGACGATCAAGTTAAAACAGCTGATCCCGTAATTTTGCAAACAAATTCTATGGAATCGTTAGGAATATGAAAATTTCGTTAATTTCATGGGTTGATATCTAAATATTAGTACATATTTATAAGTCTATATCTCTCAAATAGCTTATAAGTGCTGCAGAACAAGTAAAGTAGAAAAAAGCAAATAATCTAGATTTTAAATATATTCTTACAACGAGGATACCTTTCCAAAGTCATCCCTTTCTCTTGTTTCCATCTTTATATAATATTATAAATTGCGTTCAAAACTTTCATAATCATTGGTTGCAGTCTATGTCACGGCTGTCAATACGAAACAATTTTGAAAAGTAGTCTGTGTGATTAACTTCAAAGAAAGTTTTTGAACGTGTAATTGCAACGTAAACCTACAGTAAAAATTTCACCAATTCATAGACAGGCGAAAGCTTTTAGAAGCTCCTACTAATACTCTACTATTAAAACAGCCAAATGCCTGAAAAACGGCTCAAATCTTCACTTCAGAAGAGCAGTAAAACTACCCCGTAAACTTATAGATTTTCTATCAGAAATCGAAGATATTTAAATGCAACATTTTATTATTACCTTCCATAGGATCGGATTCAGGTGTGTTGTAGGATCTGATAGTTGTCGGAATCAAAATTGATACCGATGAAAAAATGTAGTAGGTGTCATGAATTCAGGTATTATTGGTTTGACGTTCGAAACAGAAATTGTATCGGTTTTGGGTGTCACAGAATCTGAACACTACGAAAATCTGTCTTGGATTCAAAAACACCCCTGATTATTTGAAACAAGTAAGGAGGAGCTAATTTGGCCAGAGGCCGCATGCGTATGCGGAAGCCGATGATTAAGAGCTGCCACCCCCTAATTTAAGATATTATGCGATTCCCGTGCCCATTGAATGATTTAAACAGAGCCTTTCCACCATCGGACTGCTTTGGAAAGTAACGGTTGCCTTACCGCGTCAAGAGGCTATGGCGCTGGCGAAAAAAACTCCCAGACTTGAAAGCTTGCCATGCTGAGGCGAAGGGACTAAAAACAAAATAAAAAACAACGATAACAATCAAAATTGGGTGGGCATGAGTGCTGCTACTCTGAAATGGTACCTTAGGCATCTCCAACACAGTAAATCCCCAGAGGTGGCAGTGAAGCTCTCCCCAAGCAGGAGAAGGGGCAGCAGCCCATCTCCGGCTGCTAGAAGACATGCAGGGCAAACTCCGTGTCTGTCGATAGACGAAGCAGTGAGAATAAGAGGCGCAGCCTGGTTAACCTAATTCCGTTAATAAGGCGAGGTAGTGAAAGGATTGCTACATGGTAAACCGCGAAACGGAAGAGTGGGCAAATAACGCTACAAGAACTTCCTAGTTCTCAGAGGCATAAGGGGGATCATCCAAAAGCGATCGGAGAAGAACGCTTAGCTTCAAATCCAACGAAGGCATTAATACCTCGGCTTGGCGGGTAGTCAACAGTAGTATTGAGGACGTCGGATGCTCAACATCGGCATAGATGACTAGTCCTATAGACGCATCTGGAAAGAGGGATTCCGGTTTAACTATGGATTCAGAGCCGTGGTAATGAGGAGAAGAAAGCACCGAGAAAAGGATGCTGGTGGATGAGGCACACACTCATTCCGGCACAAGCACAGTCGAGCAGGATGCTACTGCTATTGTCGCAGTGGGAGTACCGGATGTGTTTCGTATCGAGCGGGACACAGAGCTACTCTCTACACAGAAGCTCCCGGACGGGTTGAAAAAGCAGAATTGTTGTAAGAAAGAGGACCTGTCCCTCATAAAATCAATCCTGAGAACGCCAGGGGAGACAGCTTTAGCACCCCCACGGAAAGGCGCAGCACGGACTAAACATTGAGAATGTGGATTGTTTACTCAGCTTCGATTCCCGTACTAGAATGGAGGTCCTTGACATAAATTTGAACAAGCAGCTAGGCTCCACAAGACTTTGCAGGCAAGACTGACACAGCATTAGATATAAAAAATCTGTTTGGACCTATAGGACCAGCGCAGAGATAACTAAATAAAATAACAAAAGCTATATTGCTAGGCCAGACTCAATTAAGTAGGCACTAGCTTCCTTCTCTAAATATAAGTCACCAGGGGTGGATGGCATATTGACATCACTTCTGCAACAATGAGAGCAAGATATTATATATTGTCACATCTTGTTGAGCTTTAAAATGGCTAAGGTTAAGCGCTTATTCGCCTGGCATCTGTAAGAGTCTACTTCAGCATATCCGGTGGTGGCTCCACGTCGGTATCCTACGGATATATAGACCGGGATTAGCCAAAGTTCCCTGGCAGTTAGTGGTTAATAAAATTAGGTAAAAAGAAAACAGTCAATAAAGAAGCTCTGATTCTACCTGTATTAGTGACCGCAAACAGCGTAAGGCTTCTTGTCCCTAACCCAATAAAACCGCTGCTGCTCAGTCTCTCACCAGTTGAAACAAAATATTGGCACATGCCGGCATAACCTGCCAAGAAGCAATCTGAACGATCTTCAGCTTCCTCTAAAATTCGCTCGAGGCATCCCTTCTCTGTTCACTTCCGTCAGTGATTTCCGAACAGATACCACAAATACTGCTTATCACAAAAGCTTCAACACAAGCTGAAAAAATTGATTGACGCTCTGCCAGAAATTTGATATTGCTTACTGTACTTTAATTTAATATTGTAATTCTTATTTATACAGAAACCCGCACGTATATTTATGTCAAATAAGTTTTCGATAAGCAGACATTAAGTTCGCACAGCCATCGGGCGGGCGTCAACCTACGCCTTAGCAACTTAGCTGAGATAACCTTGGGACCATATAAGGCAATTACCATTCGCAGATATGGATAGCGGCTCTGAATAAAAATAACAACTTTAGTAAAGACGAAGAAGGTCGGCATCGACTTCCGATAAAGATGAGGATAAAACCATGGCTTACCGTCAGGAGTGATGGAATGTTAGTGGGAGTCGGCAAAAGCCTTCGGACAGAAAAGATATATAGTACTGAAATTCGAGATGGAATCGCCAACATTCTGCTAGATTTTTGTGAGCACGAGGTCCCCCCGAAGTCAGACCGTCGGTTGGCAACCAGGATTTTGGAGTATGCTGATCAGCATTCTAGCACAAAAGAGGGGGCGAAAAGGGTGAATCACTCGCTACGCTTAGGGTCGCAAAGGGGGCTATGGTTTCGAGAGGGTGGTCAGGGAGGATGACCCACAGCCTTCAGTTGAGACAAAAGAGAAGGGGTAGGAGAACCAAATGAAAATGGAGATCGATTCTAACCTCTGGAATGCGGTGAGCACTAGGGCGGATCGACAGTTGATAGATCCATATTCAGTGAGAGATCTGTAGTGAAGAACTCACACTACTGGAGAACGGTTTGGAGGATGAAAATCCTTCATATTAAGCACAAGCTCTTAGCTCAATAATACAGGTAGAACCAGATCTTGTTTGTAGGCCAGAAATGAACCTAACTGTACCTAATTTCAGCAAGGAAGATGTTGTCTCTAGGCTAGAAGGCAGCGCCACTCTAACAAGGTGGAGGCACCTCTAGATCTGCTAAGGAGTGCTCCGACAAAGGCTAGACAAAGATTTTCGGAATGATGGGACACAAATGCGAGAGGTGAATCACTTTTTGATTTTATATGCAGGAAAAACTCTTCTATCTGCAAAAAAAGGAACTTTCCCGTTTTTTTGCATGATAGAAAGGCGAAGGCGCTTGACGTTACGCTAGCTTCTAGACTTATTACTTCCTAGATCTCGGAATGGACAGTACGTGATGATAATTTTTTGTCTGACTATAGATATATTAGCTTTTGCTTGGACGCTTGATGATGTACTACTAAAAAAATGGGACTGTCGGGTGATAGCCTGTGCCGACGACGCTGCTCTTATTGTAAAAGAAAACTTTAAATAACGGCTACGAGCTAGATCTAAGGTATCTCAGCGTGGTATCCGCCTGGGAGAATAGAAGCGACTATTCCGTGAACCCAAGTAAAACTGTAATTGTTTTATTTACCACGAGGTATAAAATCCCAGACGTTACCTTCAGTCGGAGGCTCACGCCTTCAATTTATTAATAGAGCGACAAATCTGGGTTTACTCTTTATAGAAAAACCCCTCAACACAAGTAAAACTGAATTTAATTTATTAACCACGAGGTATAAAATCCCAAATCACGCCTTCAATCTGTAGATAGGGTGAAAAATCTGGGACTTGTCCTTTATACTTGCCTTATACTGCTGTAGCGGAGGTATTGGAAAGAAGTGGGGACTCTATCCAAAGGTTTTGTTATGGCTCTACCAAATCGTAGTCAATCCAGTAATGTTCTATGGTGTATTGGCCCATGAAAATGCTACATTATCTAAGAAGCTTGAGCGGATCCAAATAGCGGCTGTCATCGGCACCATCAGTGCACTGTGGACAATGCCAACAATTGTACTTAATGCCTGCAATGCACTGCTGCGAAGGCCGCTCTACAGTTCATAAAAGCTAGCTGCTTTTAGTGACTGTCTCTCCGCCCACATACCTAAGAGGAATATGGGGACAGGGAGAAGTCGCACAGATGGATCAATGGAGGGAAGATTGAAGAGGGAGTTCTCTGTAAGCAGTTCACCGTCAAGTTAAGTTCTAGGATAGCGCACTACTGTAGTGCTTTTCAGGCTCAAGTTGTTGCAATTAGGTAGCGCTCAAAGTTAGTCCAAGCGTGTCTATACTCATTAGATATAACATCAAGCCACTTCATTATCAGACTCGGTTTAGTGCTCGGTCATAGCGAAATAGCTGGAAACTACAAAGCCGATAAGCTAGTAAGTCAGGGCACCCTTACCAAGCTCATATCAGAGTGAGAACTGCGAAATATTTCTTGCCTAGAGCAGAACGTAGGAGATTTACTGAAGTACTTACTCTTAGCAAAGTTCATCAGTCATACCTTCGGCGAACCAAGACCACAAATTTGTTATTGGATCGAAGCGCTTTAGCGATTTATGAAGGCCTTTATGATCAATTTCATAGAAATTTGAGGTACCACAACAGACCGACGTTATAAGCTAACATACAAAAAAACTTTAAGTCAAAGACCCTTCCTTTGTACTCATCTGAGTTTATTTTAAATTATATGATCTTTGCTCAACTCATCAATTTCAATTGGAGTCCCCTAATTTGTGTAATATTCCCTAATCATCATAAATACAAGGACCTGGCCATTAAATTTAATCATGTCTATGGATTTTCAATAGATCCAATAATTCAACAAATGTATATTTCCGAATTCCGTAAGTTTTTATGAAATATATACATATATTTAAACAGTTTTCGATTCCCGTAACGTTGGAGAGTAATGAATTGAACAAACTATACAATTTGTTAAAATAAACTGGCAGCACCAACAGTACAACCCTGTCCTCTGAACCTGCTCAATTGTGTTAAGCTTCTTTTTATGGTGTACATGTATTATTTACATTCTTGACAATACACAGCAAGTCACCTCATGCATACCGAAATCTCTGGCAGCGCTGTTTAAGAATTAACGAATAATGCTGACTTAACCGATAGCAGGATAATCTATCACGGTAGCCATTCCCTATAATAAAACTGGTTAAAAAAAAATTTAACAAAACTTGGTCCTCCGTTTTCGACCCGTCGGTGTACCACTTGATAGTGCTTCCCCTTAGCAGCAGGTCCAGTGAAGAGTCATTCCACTCAGACTTGCTGCCAAGGGTAACTTGGAACTTCCTGCTGAAGTTTACTACTTTGGTAATGCTATCCCTTGGGAGAAGGGCTAGTGGTATTTCCTCACTTAGCTCTTTCATCTGCTGGGATGAGATTACCTTCCCTTTGCCCCTCTGATGTCATTTGGAGCAGAGTTCGTTTGGCAGTCTGTTTGATTACTAGGTGTAGCGGTGAAAGTTCTAGCATGACTTCCTGTGCTGCGGTCGGACACGTTCGCGTTGCTCCCGACGCGCAGATGCAGGCAAGTCTTTGCAGCTTCGACAGTTTAAGTCCTACCGAAGTCTGCGATGCTTTAGAAACCCACGATACCGCTCCATACGTGATAATCGGTCTCACAATCATGGTGTACATCCACCTGATTGTCGTTGGGGACCATCCCCAGGATTTTCCAGCAAGTCGGTTTCACACCATGAGTGCTTTTGTAGCTTTGTTTAGGGTCTGGTCCACGTGCCGATTCCATCGTAGAATGGAATCTAGCGTGAGGCCCAGATACTTGACCGTGCTGGCCATCTTCACCACTCTGCCGTCCAGGGATATATTTCTGAGGCCCGGCAGTGACCTCCGTCTGGTGAAGGGAATGATTGTAGTTTTAGCGGGGTTGATGTTTAAGCCAACCCCACTACACCATCCCTTTGCCAGTCCGAGTCCCCTCTGAACGATAGTGTCTCTTCAAATTTTCCCCTAGCTAAGATAACAATGTCATCCCTGACAGCGGATTCCATTGCTAGTCAGCCGCTCAAGGAGATCGTCCACAACTAGGCTCCAAAGTAGGGGGGATAGCACTCCACCCTATGGGCAACCTCTTGTTGTGCCCGGACGAATTTTAGTGTCTACTACTGCGGTTTCCGCCACCCTAGTGCGCAGTACGGCTGCAATCAATCTGCGCACTGGTGCTGCCACATTTCTTTTCTCCAGTGCTCTTCACACGCTCTCATGAGACGTGTTGTCAAAGGCACCTTCGATGTCGAGGAAGGCGCATAGTATCACCTCGCCCCCATCTAACGAATTCTGGATCTCTGAGGTTAGCTGATACAGAGCAGTGTTTGTTGACCTGCCTGCTCTGTAAGCATGTTGCTTCGCATGAAGCGGTGAAGCCTTCAGCACCTTCGATCGTAATTCGTGGTCTATGATCTTTTCCATACTCTTAAGTAGGAAGGAAGTAAGACTGATTGGGCTGAATGATTTCGCCAATGAGTAGTCTTTCCTCCCTACTTTGGGTATGAAGATCACCTTTGCAGTGCGCCATGGTTCTGGGATATATGCCAGCGCTAGGCTATCCCTCATCAGCCGAACAAGGTGGGGCAGTAGCACCTGGTCCCCCTGTTGCAGAAAAGCTGGAAGGATACCGTCCGCACCCGGGGACTTATATTTTTCAAAGGAGGCCAGAGCCCACTTGATGAAGTCTGCAGTGAAGAGCTGTTTTGCGACTGTCCAGTCCAAGCGTGATGGCCTTCGTTCGACCATAGGTCGAAACTGGTCTTCTTGAATCGTCTCCGGGAAATGCGCTAGTAGAAGAGCTGTAGCTCTTTCTTCTGCGCTGGACGTATAGGTCCCATCAGATCGTTTAATTGCTAGTACTGTGTTCGTCTTGCCCTTAGCCAGAGCCTTATGCAGTCTAGCTGCCTCTGGGGTTGAGGAGACGCTCTTACAGAACTTCCTAAAGCTTTTTTGCTTCGCGGTTTTAATCTCCTTATTATACGCAGTTAGGCTGCATCTGTATTCCTCCCAGTTTCCGGTGCGCTTAGCCTTATTGAATAGCTTGCGCACCGTTTTTCTTAGTACTGAGAGCTTACTAGACCACCAGGAGCAGTTACTGCTTTTGGTGGTTGTCTTTAGGGGGCAGTTGCTGTGATACCCCTCTATAATGGATTGGTTTAGGGCAGACAGTCTGCTCTCCAATCCAGAAGCCGTTGCGCTTCTATCCAGTTGCTCCCTACTGCTAACATTTGATTCAAGCGAGTCCCTAAAAGCGGCCCAGTCCGTGTTCCAAGGGATATGCTTGGGAGGGAGTTGTTTTACCCCCATCCCCAGAACGAATCTTATGATACGGTGATCCGACATGGAGGGTTCCGAGATACCCTCCATTGTGAGATCAGCCCTATCTCAGACTCGTTACTGAGAGTAATGTCAAGCATCTCCCTTCTGACACTAGTTACAAAGGTGGGTTCGCACCCCACGTTTGCTTTACTTAAATTCTTACTGGCTATAAACTCGATAAGAGACTCACCCCGTGTGTTGCAGTCCGTGCTGCCCCATTTGGTGTGGTGGGCATTAGCGTCGCAGCCCATGCTGAGGGGCAGCTTATTCCATCTGCAGTACTCCACTAGGTTGCCGACTGCCTCTGGGGGCGCTTTCGGAGTCTCCCCCGGAAAATAGGCCGCTGCCACGACGAAGTCCGCTCCTTCGTCGTTCCTGGCTTGTACAGCGTCCTATGTTAGGAACTCTGAAATACAGAAAAAATCAATACCGTTCCTAAGTACTATGCAGGTTCTAGGTCTCTCACTTGAGAGATCCCAGATTACCTTATTTGACTCCATTTTGAGGCCCCTGACCTCTCCTTTATTGACCCATGGCTCCTGGATCAGTAGTATGCCCAGACCATCCATCGTAAACCTGCTCACGATAACCGCCGAGGCTGACGCCGCGTGGTGCAGGTTTACATGGGCAACTTCTATGCGCGGCCCCACTACAGGATCGGCTTCATGAGGAACTGGTCCTCATTCTCACCGTCCTCCGCGATGTCTCCCGTCAGGTTCGTGAGCCCCTCCAGAAGCACCTCCGCCGGGTAGTTCAGCGGCAGCACAGTAATACGAATGCCTTTGAGGGCATCCGCAGACTTGCGCTGTCCCTCCACTACCCGGGGGGATCTGGGGCGGAGCGGTGGCCACCAGTCGCCTGTGCAACGTTGCTCCTCTGGTGCTTGGTGTTGGGCGGCTCCTGCGGCGTCAGCTGTCCGCTTTTCCGCTTCGCCGCTTGGGTGGTCAAGGGAGCTGCTCTTTCGCAACCTCGGCCGGCGGGCTGAGTTGCGCTTACTGGGCCGTGGTCTCGATGGTTGCCATTACGCTTCCTAATGGCCGCGGCATTACCACCCCTTTGGTTTCCTGAAGCCGGAGAAGTGCTGTCACCTCTCACCCTGTTCCGCGTTAGGTTTTCGGCTTCCTCCGGAGTTCTTCCCTCCTGGAGGTGCCTCAGGTACCACTTCAGGCTGGCACCGCTCATACCCTTTCTTCTGGGATCGTCCGCTCCTCCCGGACATCCTGTTGGTGGCAGGAGGGGTAGTCTGCCTCCCCTCTTCCTTCTTCGTTTGCGAGCCCCACCGGTGGTCGCCCGTTGCGACTCCTCTGCATCCGAGCAGTTGCTCCTGCTCGAGAGAGTCTCCGTGGGGTTCTCTTTTTCCGCAGCGGCCGCAGTAGAAGTCGCCTGCTGAACGCTGCTGCACGAGGGCATGTCATCATCGTCATCCCTGGCATGCTCCTCGAACAGCGCTCGCTCCTCTGGCGAATGGGCGTCCAGGAAGCTGAACTTACGTTTAGCCCCTGTTTCGCCCTTACCTGCACCGCTGCTTATGTCGTTACCATTGTCCAAAGTCGTCTGCTGTTGTTGTTGCCGAGTTCCGTTTGATGTTGTTGTGGTTTTGGTTTTGGTTGTTCTGTTGTTCATCTTGTTCGTACGACCCGTGGCTCGACAAGGCGAGCCGTCGGGTCAGCTTTTGTTAAGGGGAACAGAGAGTCCGCCGCGCCAGAGCCCCTTGACGCGGTAAGGCCACCGTTACTTCCCAATGCGGCCCGGTGTTGGGACGGCTCCGTTAGAATACAGCCGAATTTACCTCCTGGCTGCAAATCATCCAATGGGCACGGGAGTCGCATAACACCCTGGATTAGGAGGTAGCAGCTCTTGGTTGTCGCACGCATACGGCTCCTAACAACCAGTTAGGAGATGCCGAGAATGCCTTGCGACCCCTGCACCACGACAAGGTGCCTGCCATTCGCAGAGTTGTTTACTGTTGGTACATTCTTGGTCGCTATCTGTATCATTTATGAGCAAAAATCAGAGACGATTGATACTTAGTGTTGGGGACAAAGAAATTAGAAATGGATATTAATATTATATAACACTATTTTGAATCTGTGTACTTAATCATAATCTGTACCTATACAGCGATATAAAATATTGGTATCGACTTTAAGAGTATCCGGTTTTATTATACGATTACATAGCGATGGGAATTAACTAAATTTGCTAAATAGTTGTTTTTCACATTCTTCATTCGTTAGTGGAAAATCAGCAGTTTTAGTTGTGTGAAGTATGTATAATACACTTAAACAATAGTTTTTTAAATATTTGCCAGTGACATATTTTGGTTATATAGCATTAAAACGTGATAAAACCAGTAACATATTTTTAGTTCATGATATATGCACTTGCAAATATTGTGAAAATTTTAAGTAAATGTTTTTAAGTTTTATTTGAAATAGGCTTTCAAGAAATATTCATGATAACGAGTAAACTTTTAAATTATACACAAGACATGAAAATCTCTTGTGAACATAATATTTCGACCATTCAAGAACATGAGAAAAGAAATGGAAAATTATTGAAAGAATCAACAAAATCAGCGACAAATATATGGGAAGCTCCTTTGGCTCAAGGATTATACGACCCTCGGAATGAACATGAGGCATGTGGCGTTGGTTTTATCGTTTCTATTGATGGAACTCAGTCGCATAAGGTAACTTCTGATTTACTTTAAAAAAAAAATATTATATTCTCTCTGAAAGAAATATATATACATATAAATGGTATATATTTTAAACATTGTTGATACTTTTTGTTAGTAGTTTTGTTTATGATAAAATTATACATTCTGCTTAAACAACAAACTAAATATTCTATTAACAACGTGCTGATTCCACACATATATATAAATATTGAAATCAAAGAAAAACAGTTTATATATGACCGAAACTTATAATAGTTTTCTTATCTTTATATATCCGAAATATGAAATGTCTGCGCCTATCATTTATCGTTTAAGATATATACCCAGGGAATCAATCTTTAAATTAAATCCAGAATATGAGCTTGCAATGTCATTTCAAGGTCAAAGAAACCAAAACTCGGGAGTGTAATGTATGTTAAAAAATCTCATCTTGTAAAATATTTTTGGATACATACATATATATTAATTACCGCTGACTTATAGTTTTAACGATATTTGCGTTTAAATTCAAAAATTAAACTATTTAAGGTGCGTGTTTCATTGATTTATAATAAATTTTACACTTATATTTTTAACTTTTATATCCACTAAGGCTTCACTAATGCGTTTTTACACATTTGTTTCCATTAAATACTACAAAACTAGCTTTAATTCAATATTTAACTTTGGTTAAAATCCATGTATGAATACAACAAAATGGTTGCATGCAAACAAAAATCAAAAAGTTAAAATTAATAATTGTGTGATGAGTAAAGCAAACTCTTTCAGAATTTCTTTCCTCTTCGTAAATCTCGGTGTTGGATCGACCAGGGTTATTTTATTTGAAGCGCTGCCGAAGGACGCCAACGCAAAAAGGATTTCTACGCGAAAGAACTGAAGACACCTTCCATGTTGGACCGAAAAGTCTTATATTAATTGATGCGCGGCCGAAGGTTATTTATTATCCGCCATTGGGGTTTTACCTGTTTTCTTTACTCCGTTTAGTTCCTTTGTATATATATAAGGTAACACTGACTATTTGTAGATTTTGCTATTGTGTGAATAAAAAGAATTGAACAAAAGTTAAATATTGAATTAAAGTCATTTTTGCACCATTTTAATATAGAATAAATGTGCAGAAACGAATTAATGAAGTGTAAGTGTATATAAAAATTCAAAATATAAGGGTATAAATTAAAGAAACACGCCCTTTAAATAGTCTAATTTTTTCATTTTAAATGCAAGTATCCCAAAAACTATAAGTCAGCGGCACCTAAATGTATAATTAATTTTCTTTATCTGGAGAACCTCTTTTATCTGTACATACTCATTTTAACCCCGAATTTCGAGGATCCTTTTTTTTATTCACCTGATGAAATCGTGTTGGTTCTGGTAAAACTTGTTACGGATAACAACGTTTAATGATTTAGATTTAGTAATATCCCATTCATTATGTGTCGAATATTGCAAATTGGTATGAATTTCTTTAAACTTCTTTAACGTAAAAATATTCTAACATTACGGAAATTTTTAGAATGGACGCAAACCTAAAAGCGACTACTACACGTTCGGTATATATTGACCACGATTTAGGATTGCGATATTTATTGAGTGTTTAGTATGTAATATTGATGCATCGAGGTATTTAAATATTTTAAAGGGTAAATAGGAGTGATAGTCGACAATAAGCTCAACTTTATTGTGCATATAAGCAAAACAACTTCAAAAGCTTTTAAAACGCTTGGATTTATACTAAGAACAGGTAGAGAGTTCAGCGATGTACAGCTGTGTTCACAAAAATAGCAGTGCGAGATATGCAATCAAGTAATGTTATTTTTTTTCAAGTTCCGTTAAGATTATTCCAACGTCTACGCATTGCTGTTTTACAATGGAATGTGTATAAGGAAGAAACGAAAAAATCCCGTTAGATTTGCGAGATTTAAGCAAATGAACAACTCTTTTTGCTAGAAGCACCAGTCTTTGGCTGTTCATTAAAATAGCAGTGCGTATCTTGATAAGCTAAAAAAATTTTGTTAAGACGTTTAATTGATAAAAAGTAAGTGGTTTTGTGTTAGTGACTATTATTAACATTAGAAAACACTAAAATAAATTTATATTTTTTAACTTAGTGGGCAGGGGCAAACATTGTACTCCTGAAAAAAGAAATATTATAGTGCAACTAAGTAACCTGGGAAAACATATAAAGACATCCAAGAAATATGTGGATGTTCTGCTAAAATGATTCTTAATGCTTTAAACTTTAAAGAAATGACCGAAAATCGTGGTATCCGACGTAAAACCACGCCTCATGAGGACCGATCTATTGTGCTATATAGCAAGGCGCAGACTTTTGCATCGTCCAGCAAGATAAAAAATGACTTAAGCTTGAATGTTAGTGGCGTTACTATTCGGCGACGTCTTAAAGAACAAAATCTCAAAGCGTCCCATTCACGAAAAGTTCCACTGTTAGCCACCAGACATGTCAAAGCACGTTTGGAGTTCGCCAAAAGTCACCTTAATTGGCCCATTACAAAGTGGCGAAATATTTTATGGAGTGACGAAAGTAAAATTGTGTTATTTGGTGGAAAGGGCTCTAGACAATATGTCAGACGTCCATCTAACACAGAGTACGATCCTAGGTACACTTTGAAGACAGTTAAACACGGCGGATTGAGTATTATGGTATGAGCATGTTTTTCTTACAGTGGAGTGGGCCCTGTATTCATGATTGATGGGATCATGGATCGATCTGTATATGTTAACATATTAGAAAATCTTATGTTTCCTTATGCCAATTGGGAAATGCCACTAAAATGGACTTTTCAACAAGATAACAACCCCAAACATACAAGCAAACTGGTCAAAAGCTGGATGGCATCAAAGCGGATCGGTCTTATGTCATGGGCTGCGCAGTCTCCGGATTTAAATCCAATTGAAAACCTATGGGGAGATTATAAACGATATGTTGCAAATGCAAATCCAACATCTCGATCACAGCGCCCTGTCAGGACTTGGTGGATTCTATGCCTCGCAGTTGCCAGG